TTTTTTTTTTTTTTTTGGCTGTGGCTGGATTTGAACAGCATATGCGGCCAGTGCCCTACTGCTTTGAGCCGTAGGCGCCTCCCAATCCTTATAATTTTTATCTCCCACACATGTCTTGGGGCTATTCATAGCCCTACCTTGGAGGAATGGATTATAGGTGAGAACCAGAGGAGTTGGGAAACTATGCAAAGGAAGCTATTGTCTAGAAGAGAAGAACATAGGAAGTTGACAATATGCAGCTTGGAGGGAGGAATGGCTGAATGGGAAGGCTAGGCAGGTGTGAAGGGGGGGGGCGCTCCTGTTGGTTTTTGGAGATAAAGTTAGATAACTTTAACTTAATACTAGTGATAGTGGAATAATGAGCAGAAACGAGAACATCCACCAGCAATTTAAATTTTAGTAAGTTTCTGGATGAAAAATTAAAGGAGGTGGTGAGAATACTTCAGTCTGGTGAGCAATGAGCAGGAAGCCACTTAGCTCTGCAGAACCACGGAAGGCTCAAGGCTACAAGTCCAGGAAAACAAGGTAGGAGATGGAACTTGTATATAAACCTCAGCTGCCCTTTCAGCACTTGGGATGCCTAGGAGCTGGCAAATAGAAGAGCTACTTTTGTCTTTTAGAAATTTCTCAGCTTGAGGGCCTGATAACCCAGAGGCAATCTGTGATGACCCCAGATTCTTGAGATCTGCTTTTTTTTTTTTTTTTTTTTTGAGACAGAGCCTCAAGCTGATCCCAGGGTAGGGTAGGGTGCCGTGGCATCACAGCAGCCTCCAACTCCTGGGCTTAAAACTATTCTCTTGCCTCAGCCTCCCAAGTAGCTGGGTCTACAGGCTCCAGCCACAATGCCTGGCTATTTCTTGGTTGTAGTTATTGTTGTTTGGCAGGCCCTGGCTGGATTCGAACCCACCAGCTCTGGTGTATGTGGCTGGCTGGTGCCTTAGCTGCTTGAGCTACAGGCATTGAGCCTGAGCTCCCAAATCTATACACAACCTTCCCTTGAGGCATTTGCCAACTCCCAAACTGCTCATTGTCATTGCAAGACCCTCAAGAAACACCTCAAAATGCAATAATTTGGAGGGTAACCAGCTGAGCATAGATTTCAACAGCTATACCATTCTGGGATAGACATGGGCAAGGCCTGTCTCCAGTTTAAGGTGGAATGGGCCTGCTTAAGCAAGCCTAAAATGAGATCTCATCAGGTTTTAGGCAATCTGCCAGCCAAATGAAAACCCTATTTGGTGAGCCTCTATGCATACTATTTTTTTTTTTAAAATAGAGACAGAGTCTCACTTCATTGCCCTCAGTAGAGTGCTATGGTGTCACAGCTCACAGCAACTTCCAACTCCTGGGCTTAGGTGATTCTCTTACCTCAGCCTCCTGAGTAGCTGGGACTACAGGCACCTGCCACAATGCCTGCCTATTTTTTTTTTCAGTTTTTGGCCAGGGTTGGGTTTGAACCTGCCACCTCCAGCATATGGGTCCAGTGCCCTACCCACTGAGCCACAGGCGCCGCCCGTATGCATAATATTTTTAGCACACAATAGTCAGCATACACTCAAAAAATACCAGGCATAGTAGAAAGGATTTAAAAGTGCTGAAAACTAAGACCAAAACAAACAAACAAACAAACAAAAAACAGACCCAGAAGTGATTCATTTGTAATTATCAGGCTGAAATAACTGGGACATGTTCACAAAATAAGGAAAAGAAGAGAATGTTAGCAGATCTGGGTCTTAGATGGCAATTCTAGAATTGGGAAGCAATATCTGAAATTAAGAATCTAGTAGTTGTGGCAGTGTCTATAGCTCAGTGGGTAGAGCGCCGGCCACATACACCAAGGCTGGCGGGGGGTTGGTTTTTTTTTGGGGGGG